TTTTGTTCATTGCTGAGGCCATCATATTGGGATTGAGAGTTATTGTTAACTTTTATTGTTAAGTGAGGGATGTTTAGATGAGACATTATTTCTTTCATTGTGCTATTCATTCATTACAGGAATTGTTAAGCATTTTTAATAAATACATTTTGAATAAAATTATCATTTGTTATTGGAGTAATTGCTGTTGACTTTTACTGAAAAGCATTTTTAATAAATCAACTGTTAATATCATGTTATTGTAGGATTACCTAGGCCTACTGTATGCATGGGAACAGAGATCCCCCGCCGCCGCCCCCCCGCTCCAAGGTGTCCTGGTTTTTCAAAATGAAAATATGGTCACCCTATACAGTAGCAGCCATTCAAAATGGCCCTACTCAGTCAAACGCCAGCCGAATAGCAGCCCTGCAACTCCCAGCAGAATCGCCTCCAACTTCCAGCCACTGGAGTGACCCCTCCTTCTCCTGGGCATGCATATTTTTCTACTTTGGCTCCAACCTTTCACTGAATTACAGGATGTCCACAAATCATGACAATGAATATTTTAGTACAAAGATTGATGTTTAAAAATGAATTGTAAGGGACCAGCCAAGGGCCTCTCAAGAAAAGTGGGGAATTTTTGATGTATACACTGCATTTCATTGGTCCTAAACATTTTTGTAAGGACGCCAAACGTATTTGCTGGCTTCTACCAATATGTATTTTCATGAGTTTTTGAATTCACAAAACTGCAACAATTCATCTTGCTTGTAAGGTAATCACCAGAACTCAAATCAATTTAAGTATGATTTTAAAACACACGTCGGACTTTGACATTTTTATTTTCCCATAAGGTCCAGCCTATTGCCATGGGCTATTTCTGTATGAAAAAGTGTATATAAAATATAAAATATCCTATATATTTAAAGAGACATTATGGAGTTTTGTGATCATTCTGCCACCTGTGGCCAAAAGATAGAACTGCAACACTCTTTGGCTTGTTCTTGCAGCACAAGCTTATCCTTGAAAAGTTTTTATTTTATTTTATTTTTTTTAATTATTTATTTAGTTGAGTGGCCATTGGTGTCTGATTTGAGCTGGATGCCAGTTGCTTCTGAGTAGCCACAAAATCCATCTTGGAAATGTATTCCAAAATATATTCAGGGGAAAATGTACAGGTTTAAATGCATAAACACTGAACTACTTTGGTGTCCGTCCGCTCATCAAACAATGTTTTAGTTATTGTAAAGATATTTTTCAATAAAAACTTACAAAATATTACAGTTCTTTAATTATTCATTATAATTATTAATTTCTTTAATAGCTCTGAAAGAGGTAACTACTGTAGAAATAGATATTGGTAGTACAATTAAGTACATAGGCAATGTTCTACTATTTATAAACGCTAACAGGTAGGTAGAAAATTTATTTGTATTGATATATTCTACACATATTGACCATAGAATACCCAATAAATTAAACCAAATAAATAAATAATTAAATACATTTCTAAAAAAGAAAAAAATGTATGCTTATCTATGCTTAACACCATCACATGCCAAAAACAATAGTGCAGGCCCCATCAGTCAGGGCTTTGGTTGCTTTCTGTCATTCCTTGCAAAAAAACAAGCACTGAAATATAGAATGAAAAGGTCTTTGTTTCTGCTCCACACACAAATATTTTTTACAAACCCTACTAATACGCATCCATTCACAACATGGCCTTTTTTTGCTCTACATGTTCCATAAAATGCTTCTAAAAAATAAATATCAAATAAGCCACTTAGCAAGCTTAGTACTGGTACAGGGAACTTTCAGTCCTCTTTCCCACATTTTACAGACCCTTTTTCCAAACGTAATTCATTGATTTTTATTTTTGTCAAACTAGCAGTGGTTTGATGGAGTGTGTGACGTCCTGTGGTTCACACCCCAATCCATCTGGGCCAAGACTTCACATGCAAGGTTATTACCACCCCATAAATCTATGTAGATCTCAATAAACGTCTCCTTTACTCTACTCATTTGTAGTAATACTGATGTGGTATGCTATTAAACTGAAAGTAAGATCAAAATTGTATTTTTGTTATTTATTACTTTTTTTTTTTTTACTTAAAGCTTAAGAGTGTCACTAAGATGTGACTGTAGAGGTGATCTATCAGAACATGACATCAACTTCTGGATAAAGACTACGTAATAACAGAATTTTATTATGTTTAGACAATTACTTTAGTTTTACAGCATTATTTGAAAGCATTTGTAGTTAAAGGATTGTTTTTTTTCCCTTTTGTTTTAAGACTGCTATTGAAGCTTCAAGCCAGAAAATCTGTCATTGATTACATCAGCAGACTGTCTCCCGATGTGTATTGATGCAGTGGCACTGAGTATATTAATATTGACTGCCAATATGTGTCTAGGTTTCATATAAATGATGCTTTGATTGAGAAAACAGGAAAAGCACTACATATGTGTAATGGGAGTCATTTTATTACATTGAGAGCACATGAAAATTAAAGAGAAAAACATCAGAATGATAGCATCATAACAATACTGAAGTTGCTGGTGAAGATTCTCAGTCATCCAGGGTTGGATGTTCTCATCTATATATAATTATGTTTTAGTAACATTTACAGTAATATAGCTGTTATTAAGCATTTAAGTACTAGTATGTATTCATCTCTTGGAAACCCAAATGTCCGTATTTTATTGTGTAACTTTGGACCTATGAGCTCATATCAGCACTGCACAGATAAAAGCAATCTTAACAAAAGGGTAGAGGTCCTGTTTCTACCCTTTCAAGCTTTGCTTCAGAATGCTTGGCTAGAAAATATTTGGAAATAAATCAGGTCTGATCTGCTTTGATTAGACAAAAACTTCAACCAGGGTGACTGCTTATGTCATTTTCTGGCCTTTTGTTGTTATACCTTTTTAATAATTTGACATACAGTAAGCCAGGAAAAAACTTTTTTAAGGACCAGGAGGGTAATGCAGTTTGACAGGAAAAGATAGCAGGAAAGATAAGTTCAATTTCTGCTTTAAAAATTATTTGTTTATCTGCAAAAGTGAATTTTTAGAAATCATGTTCCTGAAAATATCTCAACCTATTCTCAAATTTTAAGAAGCCTGGCTGTTTTTTTATTAATTAATTTCAAACCTAGCTTGATGCTAGGTTTGAAATTAATTAATAAAAAAAAATAAATAAAGTGGAAAGTTGGCCTAGTAGTTATAGCGGTGCGCTTGTGCTCTGAGAAGGTTGCAAGTACCCGGTTTAATCCTCACAGCCTCCACTCTGGGTTCCTGAGCAAGACCCTTAACCCCATACTGCTCCCCGGGCGCCACACGATGGCAACCCACTTCTCCCGAAGGGGATGTATTAATTGCAGAGGTAAATTTCTTCAGTTTGGGATCAATAAAGTTCATTAAAAAAAACAAAAAAACAATGTTGCCCAGACTAGCACTAAGGGATGAACCAAACACCTGGTTAAGGCCAAAGATCATCAAACCCCATAATGATCCACACAGCAGGATGGTGGCCTAGGAAGTCAGTATCAGTTTATTTGATTTTGACACTTTGTATTTGCCCTAATGTTTACATCAAATATTAGCTTTTGTTGCAAGTAACGTGGAAGAAATAATTATGCACCATACATTTCACCTGAATTTCTTTAAAGCTATATAGCTGAAATGAATGTTCTACCTTCTAAAACAAAAACATTTCATCACAGATACAAAACAGTTGCTGTACTTTTAATTAAATTTGGTTGCTTCTCATAATCCAGTTTAATGTCCTCATGCTTCCCTTTTGGTTTGCACTGTTTTTGTACAAATGTACTAATTGTGACTTTTCTTCTAAAAATGTGGCAGCTGCTTCCTCAAAGAACATAAAAAATAAACTTGTTTCTCATTCTATCAGGCCCCAGGTACAAACATCAGTACATTATGGGATGTATTGAACTAAGAATGGTAGTCCATAACTGTGATGTAAATAATATGTATAGCCCTGTATTAAACCTCTCACTACCGCCCACAATGCAACACTATGTAGAACAGCTGCAAAACAGCTGCAGAGGCAAACATTATTGCTTATTCTTTGTGAAGTAGCTTAAGCTTACTCAGACTCAATGGATGGCATCTGTGAACTACAATTTTCCACACAGCATATAGTTTCTTATTTATACTGAGGCACAATGTTTGAATTGATATTTCTATATGTAAATAATTTTACATTCCAAAAAAATGTTTACAATACTCATTCATGACACTATGTTTTGTCTTAGGATTTACTGACCCAGAAAGGTGATTTCTCACCAAATACCTAAACAAGCATTCTTGTCATGACTATGTCCCTATTATGGAATTTGAAGGGAGTTATGGTATGCAAAGGAAAGGGGCACATATTTTGCTCTTCACATGTTGGCAGATTTTTTTGTCCGTCCCTTGGAGCGAGTTTAAGTAATTTTAGGGTTGAATAAAAAAAACAGTAAGGATGAGCTACTACTTCTGACATTTACCTGCATGGTTTATAATATATTATTTTACCATAAAATAAACACTATCATTATAATAATATCAAGTTTGTATGAGGCAGATACAGTATACATGGACCGACCTTATTTTTTTAAGTAAAAACTATTTTATAAAAAAAAAAAAAAAAAAAAAAACACAAAGATTTTTTTTAATGGAAAAAATGTGTTTAGTCAACAAAAATGCTATTTTTTTAAAAGATGATATGTAAATTAGAATCTAAATATATAATATTGGACCATCAATATATTTGTCCAAAAGAAATCTATTTGAGATCAGAATTGTTATTGACCTTCATGGCTTAGTGTTTGTGACAAAAATTAAAAAATACAAATCAGGTTTAGAATCTCCAAACTATGAAGAAATCAATGAGATGTGAAAACCATGTGTGTTTACCTAACACCTAACTTACTAGAGGATGCAGACGTAATCAGATTAAGTTAAAACCACAGAAAATGTGTTCATATAAACTAAGCTGTTCTCTTTTTTGTTTTTTTCAGCCTGTTGGTGCATTGAATCCAAAGCGTGCAGCATTTTTCTCTGAACGCTATGAGACAGGAGAAGATGACCAGTCACCTCCGTGTCATTACAATTCCCACTACTCCACTGCTGCTGCAACTCTGCATTGGCTTGTCAGAATTGTGAGTACTGTACCATCATTCCTTTAACCCTCTCCATTTCTGTTATTTTTCCGAGACAAGTATTAGTCAAGTATATGAATAGTAATGAAGTCAAACCAAGACCTAAGAAAGCTTCTCGTTTCATTTTTTTGTCTTCAAGGGCTGATTGTCACTTGTCAGACTTGATGATGTTGTTACTTTGAGGTCTGTCAGCTTCTGCACAGGATGCAGCTCAACATTTCAATTTGATTGGGGCTGAGTTAGACCAATGGTGCTCAAGAAAACACATTTCACAGGCCAATAAACCGGCATATGTGAACTAAATAAAGAGTGGCTGGGTAATGATTTACAGGGGCTGCTGTGACAGGTTTATGTGTTTCAGGCTACCAGTGAGCGCTGGAGACATGTCCATCAAGGTTACTGAGCACTGTCCTCATTTACTGTGGAAGAGGAGCAGGAGGCGTCACACCTCCAGTATAGTTCCTATAAAACAGGCTATTATAACCTACAGGGCTTCTTTGAATCAGTTAAAACATTAATTTAAAATAAAAGCTTAAATCTTATGGTAAGGTGTACTGTGAATATCCTCTGCTCATGGTTAGATGACCTGGGGTGGATCCCCTGAAATAAGCTAGTGTCCATTATATGGTGCCTGATCCGTTCTCTCCAAGAGCTAATAGTCTTTAATTATACTCTTTAAAAAAAATCACCTTTTCTTATTATAATTAACTAAATAAAGGCAACCTTGTTTTTCTCAAGGCTTGTGCAATTTATTATTCTACAGCTGTTTCTTTCTTTTCCTCTGGAGAAAATAAAAGTGCTAGATTTTCAATAAATATACAACCCTTTCTGCTAAAATAATGTATATTTTTTTGATTTTCAAATAAAATCTTATGGTATTAGCACTTTTAGTCAGCATGTTAAGAGAGTGGAAAAACAATCATTTTCAATTTGAGCTTTTATTGATTTGTTGTCTGATTTTCTTTTTTTCCAGGAACCCTTCACTACGTTCTTCCTCAGTGTCAACAATAACAAATTCGACCATCCTGATCGCACATTCTCTGCCATCACACGGTCTTGGAGAAACTGTCAAAGAGACACGTCGGATGTAAAAGTGAGAAATATTGAGATACAAGGTGTATTGTAGCCTACTGCCAAGGTGTATTGAATTCCTATGTATTCCATTGTGTAGTCATGTTTATTAGTCTAGTCCAATGGTTTGTGTATTTTATTTTTGTAGGATAAACCTAAATATATTGGATATGCTGTATCAGCTGTGTCTTTGCTGCTCAGAATGCATACAGAATGATTCCAAACCCGTCTTCCTTCCTCAGTAAGAACTATCTGGCCTGTAAAAAAATAAAGAGGTTGCCATTAATCATTAATGGCTTATCTGAACAAACAAAAACAAAAAACTAAAGTGTATGTATGCACATAACTTATGCATGTTTGATTTACCTCATGCAAAAACATGAAAATCTTTCAGAGGTATATTTCCCTTGAACAAAGACAGAAAATATCTGAAAGAAACACAAAGCCCTCTCTCTGTACAGATACTCACAGCACTCACTAAAAAACACAGAACCCTGCTGATTTTGCCCACTGCATAACACACAGCAGGGATATGCACTGACCTCAAAGTGTCATATATTTCTAGCACACCCTGCGTAGGGTAGTGTTGCCTCCGGCAATTAATAAAGCATTAATGACAAAAGCTATTTAAAATGTAGTCATTTATGTACAGACAGGGCTTTTACTTACTAGAACCAGGGGGAGAACCAGCAATCCATGTGAGGAAGAAGTAAAACACTGAAAGCCAGTGAACAACTTGATAGTCAAATGCCACCCTGTTAACAAATACAATCTACTTTTGGCTACTTGCACGTCTGCATGCATTTGTTTTTACACAGATGGTTGCTCAACTATTAGAGGCGTGCTATGAAGCACAATTCAGGATTACTACAACTATTTTATATTGTATTGTAAAAAAGGAAAACATTATGCAGGAGCTATTGTGTTTATATTACTCATGGTGTATAACATGGACAAACATACAGGAATTATCTCTATATTAGCTGGTTATTGAACTTTCATACTCTGTTTCTCTTTATTTCCTTCAGTAGGCTATTTATGCTGTTGAGCTTTTTCACAGGGATGTAAATCGTAGTATATTTTGGGGGGAATTTGAGGGATAAACCCAACATTCATAAAAAGGAAAAGAAGGTAATCCATTGTTTTATAATCATTTAAAAAAATAATTTGAAAAGGCAACTATGATTTTAAATTGAGTCATGTTTATTAGTCTAGTCCAATGGTTTGTGTATTTTATTTTTGTAGGATAAACCTAAATATATTGGATATGCTGTATCAGCTGTGTCTTTGCTACTCAGAATGCATGCAGAATGATTCCAAACCCGTCTTCCTTCCATCAGTAAAAACTATCTGGCCTGTAAAAAATAAAGAGGGAAAGTTTAACATTCTTGAAATCTGAACAAAAAAGATTAATAGAATTGGACACAACTGCAAACCTACCTTGGTCTTACGCCCTAACTCTCATTGGTTAATGCAAGAGTGAGTATTAATGAGAGAACCAGCGACAATGTGAGCTTGAAAAAAAAACGTTCAGATGAAAGAATCTGGTATACAGACAGCTTTACAGTCTTTTGTGGAAATTCCAACGAAAAACGCTAAGTTTGAAGGTTAATGTTTTAAAATGTTCAAAAATTTAATTGGAAATACTATTTTTGTAGAACATTTTTAGCTTATTCCTATTTATGCTAATTAGTGTTTTTTTATAATACTTAAAAGTATTTATTTTTTATTTATTTATCTGTGGTATTGCAGGGTAAGTCACTGTCTTTCATACATGAGAACCAAATTAGAATTAAGTTGCGTCAGGGAGGACATCTGTTGTAAAAACAGTAATCCCTAAGCATAGGAACAGCTGAAAGGACTCATATTCTCAAGTGTGTAAATTGCATCGGAAAAAATAAGCAATTGCTGTTTAAAATCAGATATCTGCCGAAGTTGGTTAGAAAGAAAAGTAGAGGGCCACAGGGGTTAAGGTCAGTCTGGCTCAGACCACTAAGTGGTCCATTGGGCCTCTGATTTAAAGGGAGCTTGTTTTTACCAGGGTCTCTCTTTCATTAACCTCAGTCTCCTCCTGTAGTAATGATGACAAGGCTGAGGGAGGCTGATCTCCTGGTGGGGATGACCCCTTAAAGAAGCAAGTCAAATGGAAACACCCCCAATGAAACAACCTCTCCTTCATGAAAACACCATCATTTACGTTAATGGTCTTTCATACCTTTCTATTCATTCCTGAAAGAAAATACAGTTAAGTTATACTGGCATAGCTGCCCATTGACAAAGAGAGATAGACTTTTCTTTAAAGCAGTGGGGACAAATCCACACACACCGAAACACGGACACACACACAAACTGCCAGTGTGTTGTCTGAAGGTATCCAGCAGCACTCTCCTGGTGACAGATTTTGACAAACATGTCATTAAGGTGACACAGTGTAAAGCAATGTAGGCTTGAGTGATTGACTTGTTAGCCCATTACAATGCTGTTGCAGAATTAATGGCTACCATGGGAGGGTGGCTTGAAAGCGGAGCTGGCAGTTTTAACAGCTTGGCGGTGAGTTACGGCAGCAAGTTTACAACCAAAAAAAGATGAGGGAAAGTGTAGTTATGTGTATGTGGAAGAAAAGAAGGAAACAAAGATGTTTTTTTTACTTTTCTTGTTATTTGCAGAGGGTGAAATTTGACCAACAGCAGACCAGTAGTCTTATTGGCCTGTACCATGTCATAGTAACCCACTCTCTAAAAACCAAATAATTTATGAGTGTGTAGCAGCGATGAGGAATACGTTTCCCATAGGCAGAATGAAAGTCTTTACCACCTTGAATCTCACAAATGCTGCTCCTATAAAATTAAGCGAATTATAGGAGTTGAAATACTGACTTAAATTTAATTTGATCATTTCAGGCTGGAAGAAGGATATTTTTTTTTTTTTTTACCTTTTCCTTTCCAAATGTGGACAGGATAAAGGATCTACATTTTTAAGAGTGCTTATACCCAATTGTGCAAAGGCTCTTCTCCTTTATGCCTCCTTTGTTTTATGATCAAGAGGATAAAGAATAAAAATAGAGACAGCAGTAAATGCTGTCTTGTATTTTTGATAATATTGCTTAAAAAGTCAGTTTTAAAAACTAGGTAATTTTTTAACAATGTGGCCACATCTACATTATTAATACATGTTTGGTCATTAATTTGGAAATAAAGACAGTATGTATAATAGTTTGCAAAAGTACTCGTTGCCCTTTCTGCTATATAGCAACTATAAACCTAAGTGTTTGTTTATATTATATTTTATGTGATAGACCTGCTCATTGTAGTATATACTGCTAAAGTTGAAAGAAAATGATAAATGTTTGTCTTTCTTTACCTTTTATTCTAAGTTCATATAAAGACATCAGCCATTTTTTTTAGCCACTTTTAATATTTTAACAAAATAATTAAAATCTCTCTAACCTATGTCTTAAGATGTCCGCTAATCGGTTAATCGAGTAGAACTGTCTGTAATTTGATATTAAGATAAATCTTCTATGTGGACCTCTTAAGATTTTTGTTTGCTGAAGAACATTACATATTTGTTTGAAGAAGAGGAAAAGGAACCCCCAGACAAGTCAAAGATACATTTATAGAGGAGTTTAAAGAAATATGTAGTTATGATACAGTATCATAAGCTGGGCATTTGAGGAACATCGTTCAGTTTGATTTAATTGGGGAAGAATTTAGCAAAATTACATTACTAGAAAAAAGGCTATGCACCTAACTGATAGACCAGCTAAATAGCAATAATCCAATATGTAGTCCAGAGGCCTATAGCAACTCTAAAGGGTGTGCAGTAATGCATGGCCTAGATGGAAGACTCTGTTGACTGTACAATTTTATGTTGTGCATTTCTTAGATCTCACATTTATGAAATAGTAGCTGTACAAAAGCACAGCTGAAAGGCAGTCAAAAAACAATGCTACAAGTTGTCAAAACATTGAAGGGACATGGAAAAAATATTCCAGTTGAAGAGAACCAAGTTTTATTTATTATGTATCTGCATTCAAGGCCCTGTGGGGCAGAAAGCTAATACTGCATATCACTATAAAACACATTCCCAATATTAAAATAGGTGTGACAGCTTTATTCTTTGGTGGGGTAAATCTTCAGCTTGGACTGGGAAGCTTAGCCTTACTTTGATGGTCTAGATCGAAATGAATACAGTATATTTGAAAGAATGTCCAGATTTACATCTAATGGGGATCTGTATCAAGAACAACAAGCTGATTTTAGTTGCTGTCCTACCCAACTGAGCTTGAACAATTGTACATAAAGAAGATTTAGAAATATATCTACATATTTGGAAAGCTTTAGGAGACATAAGCCAAACGGCATCTTGCTGTATTGACAGCAAATAATTTTATACCAAATATGGAATATAACTCAGATTATATGGATTTTGTAAAATGTTTTAAGAACAATATATCATTTTAATTACACTTAATAATTGATAAATATATTTATTATCATATTTTATTTATTATTTCAGGTTTGTGACTGTAGAGTAATGGGTATGAATCGTTTTGCATGAAGATTTCAAACATTTCTGATTAGTTTTTGTTTAAATACAAGGGACAATCTTGTTGAGAAAATTGTTGTCTGAGAAGCTAAGGTCAATATTTGCTCTCCTCTTCAGCACAAATCACACTTGGCTTTACATTAAGAGCTCTTTTACCAAGCTCACTTCCCCTCCACAGCAGGGTCCTGACCCCATCTCAGGAAACTAAAGACTAGAGAGAAAAGCCCAACTTTGTTCCAGTTTCATTTAACACATCTAACACCTCTGGCTGGAATAACTGGACTAGCAACACTCAGCCACTCTCTCATGGCCTGCTGTTCAGCTTGTTTATGTTACCTTTCCCCTTAAGTTTCACCCCCTCTCAGTGAGACAAAGTTTCTTCTTTTTTCCTTTTTCCATTTTTATATTATATTAAGACTAATTTTCCTGCCTTCAGAAAATCAGTTTGATTTTATTACTGACTTTGATAATATAACACAAACATTTCTTTTTCTTTAGGAATTGATTCCTGAGTTCTACTATCTCCCAGAGATGTTTGTTAACAGCAACGGCTACCATTTAGGAATGAGGGAAGATGGGAACATGATCTGTGATGTGGACTTACCAGCCTGGTCCAAGAAGCCTGAAGACTTTGTACGGATAAACAGGATGGTAAGCTTTGTGAGCATGTGCTTGTTTAAAACTGTAGAACCCAAAAACTGTCTATGCAATATATCTGGCCTAATATGACATGACCAAAAACAGCCTTTAACAAGACTTGATTAAAATATTTTAACCTGCAGATGAAAATTCCAAAGATGGCCTCTTATAAGCTCATAAGAGCCTAAACATTTAAAATCTCCTGAAGAAGTGCTAGTTTAACATTTGGGATTTTTTTATACTGTGCCCTGCCTGTTTTTTAATGGATTATTAAAATATATTAGTGTTATAACTAGTACATTTGTATTGATTTAATTCTCTAGGTAAAAAATTTAATGTACCTTCAATATTGATTACAGTTTAATCCATAAATATGATTTAAGAAGCTTATAACAATGGTTATAGAGTTTGTTTGTATAAGTTGATGTATTCCTTATTTTCCAGTTATATTATAAGTATGCATGATTTATTGTAGCAATTCTTTCAAGCTATAAAGGTGAAAATTGGTGAGGGCAGCTTCATCTTCAGCGGTGGGCTTTTCTTTACAGAAAATAGGGAAGGGCTCAGACTTGATGGAAGGCTAAATAGATAAACAGCTAAATGCAGGGTTATCTAGAAGATAGATAGAACATATTTTAGAAACTGCAGATGACAAGAAGCTTTTTTTCTTCCAACAGCCTTAAAACACACCGCTACAGCTAAAATAAATTCTATTTGATCAAACCATATGTATATGTTAGATTGACTGCAAATGTCTGGGTCTAATTCCAGCTGAAAGTGATAGAATTGGAGGATTGCTGTTCATTTGTCTTAGCCATCTAATCTGACTTATCTTGGGTGTTGATGTGAAAGGCTGGGAGAGACTGAATAGAAATGCATGCCAAGATTTTTAGGCTTTGTTTGTTAACTTTGCCTCATTTTACTAACAGAAAATTTGACCAGTATAATACGTCTTGAATTGTTTTACAAGTTTTTGAAATGGATATTTCTTTCCCTTAAAACGCTCCTTATTAATTTATTTTTTCTCTGCATCATTAGCTGTTGAAAAAACATTACTCAGCGTTATCCCTGCAATGTCACTTTATCCCATAGTGTTGCTTTCTGTGTTGCTTTCTGCAGAGTGGGGCTCCTTCACTCTGGATACGGGGGGCGGGGGGGTGGTTTATGTCTTTAAATGCATAGCCCACAACATGGGATTCACAACTGATTACAGATACCACACCAAAACAACATTCCTGGGTCATTTATTATCATCGGATACAAAGAGGTTTTCCTTTTATCTCCAAGGAGCTATTGCAGAAGCTCAGCAAATCTGCTTTCTGCTTTACCCCCAAAATTGCACACAAAGTCTACTTGATAAATTGAGCCAAAAAGATTAAGATAAGAAATAATGCTTCCATTTCCACCTCATAATATTTCAACAAAACAAACCAATGTTAGAAATAATAATTTGATTTTTAGTGTTTGTTCCAGCAGTTTTTATATGATACAACTTGTTAATGTTAAACTAGCCAAACAAATGGGATGACTTTCTGCCAGAGATAGAGCATGGAACAAAAATGTACCGTATTTTCCCAATAAAATATTTTTACATGTTTCTGTTTTCTTATTTAGGCATAATCACTGACTTGCTCTATAAAAGCACTTCTGTAACACAGCTGGGCAGAAACAATATATTCTGAGGTTGGGGGCCACAGTGTTTTTGGACCTGAGGTAGAAGCACACTGTGGGAACACTTTTGACCTTTTCAGCAAGAGTGGCAGAGCTTGGCTTGTCTTATGCAGGTGACCTTTCCCCATGCTCAACTCACACTGCCTGCTTGTGCTCTGTCTGGCTTATACACCAGCAGGGGGGGGGTTGGAAAAATGAGAAATTGTTAATGACATGTGTGCGTCACCTAAACAAAAAAAGGTTTTCTGTTTTCTTAAGGTGATGCAGACATACCAGGAACAGGGAAAATGGCTGCATCGGATATTTTGTCAGTGTTGATGAGATACTGGGCAAATTCCAGATTTTTTTTTTTCTTCCTGTGATGTTTAAGCTCCCAGAAAAATCATAGCCTGATTCTTTTTTTTTTTTTTTGTCTTTCCTTTGTTCCTTTTTCCCATCTAGCCCACACTTACTTCCTCTTTTATTTCATTTTCTGTCAGTGAATTTTCTGGACCCCTCCAATCCCCCACCCCCCGCCTAACCTGCCCCCCTTTCCTTCTTTCTTTCTCCCTCCCTCCCACTTCCCATCTTTGCATGTGCCACTTTCAATTGTCGTGATATGCCCTGTGGCAAACTCTGCCTCTGTGAGCTCGAGCAGGCTTTGTTGGTAATGGCTGTTATTCTTGACGTGAGGGGAGGAGTGTAAATTTCTCTTGCAAAGCTTCACCTCTGCCTGCATGGGAATTATGTTGTAGCGCATTGTGGAATAATGCACCAACCCCCATTTCATGTTTTCTATAGGTACTGTAGATTTGTAATGAGCTATCCTAAATTATACACATAATCTCTTGCCAATCCTCCCACAACCAAAAACCTCTGTCCTTCTCTTCCACTCTAATGAGTAATTCTTAACTTTTTAGTATGCGGCTGCTTTGAAAGTGCATTTGATCTTCGTCTTATTGAAGGAAGTTCTTTGTCTTTATGCAGAGATTACATTTAAGTGGAAACATAAGAATGAAAGGGAGCCTGACCTTTGTTGGATCAGTATACTAAGACAAGGACAAATCTCACTATTTGCCTGTTAAATTGGTGTCAAATACACAAGTAATATTCTTAATTTCTGTGAGTTTTTTTACCCTCTGGTCATTTTCCCCAATCCTCACTGACCAGTAAAATTGAAAATTTAACCATTTCCTAATTGAAGGCTATTCTTTGATTTATTATGTACCTGTCTATTTCTCAGAGACAATTTATTTATGCTTTAAAGGTTAATTTGTTTCAAGGAATTTAGATTATTTAAACTGTTTATTGTGTATTTTCCATATTCTAAAAGACACTATAGCTTTGTCTGAGCAGCAACCCTACAAACTGAACTATTTATAACAATGAAAGGTGTGAACAATAAGAGAGAATAATAACTCATTTGTTGGAAGAAAGATGGTAACACTCCTCTGGCTGAAATTCTAATCAGTCATTTTACTCCTCCGCAATGCCTTTTTAAGTCCACAATAAATGTTCTCTTTACTGAGGCGGTGCAAAGATAAAGGACTAAAATCACTAAGGTAAATGAGAGAATACGGCTAACACCTCAGATTTCTCCGCTTGTTTTTAATACTTTAGAACTAACCTTGTCAGAGTAGTTTGGATATTAATAATCTGCTGTTTGCTTCCCCTCTGTTAAGATCGAGGTCCCTCTTTTATGTTAACTCAAACAGAAAAGATTTCCGTCTTTTTTTTTTTTTTTTTCCACGCTCCTTTTGCTGCCAGTTTGCTTTGTCCTAGATTGGAGAATCGAACTGAGTGGCCCACTTAAGACGATGACTTATTTCATCCCCATTTACACAAAAACTTTGTATTTTTGTATGAGCAAAACATAATGGAATTGTTCACTTTTATGTAGATGTTTGTCTACTCTGTATATGTAATAAATTAATTTTTATATACTATCAAATTTTTTGTTCTCCTATACCAAAACATTTTTTATGTAGAAAAAAATGTTTTAAATAGATTTTTATGTTTAAAGTTTTGTAAGAACACAAAGTGTAGTGGATATATAGAACAATAGAACCATAGTGTAATAATATAATAGAACCACATTCTGCAGCCTTTACACCTGCAGGTCACAGAGCCGGACATTTTTGCTCATTTTTCTTTTCAGATTAGCTCAAATTCATTAGAACTGAATAGGGAGAGAATGTGAACATAAATGTTCCAGCCTCTGCCTAACTTATCACCCCTTCTGAGGATAAGCATTCCTCTACTGTCCGAAATTTGCTCAGGATGGAGGAAAGGGTTAATTATTCACAATAAGATCATGTTTTGGTAGAAAAAGTTTGTTTTCTCGCAATTAGAGCCTTTTTTCTTTAGAAATTTATTGTTCTTTGCAGTGAGATTTTGTTGCTTCTTGCATTAACTAATGTCTATGGCTTATACTGTAGGTATTGAAGTTGAAAGGAGCAAAATGTAACCCACAATATTTCAGATTTTGTTATGTTAAATAATTTTGAATACAACCACATTTTGTTCTACTTTTATATTTTTGTGTTGGTAAATGACATAAAATCTAAAACATATTAAAGTATGTTGTTACAGGTGTGACAGATGTTGTGTGAATAATATTGTAAAGCACTGTAGAATATACTTAAAAGTGTCTATAGCATCATATTTATCTTAGTCTAAATATCCTTTATTATTTGTAATTACATTGTTTAAAATTACAATGTAATAAGTACAAATAAAATAGGATGTTATGTTGTGGAAGGATGTCTTTGTGCCATAATATTAGGAAGCTGTGTTTAGTTGTATAGTGTTTTGCATTTAGGTTCTGTTTGCCTGGTGACTTTTGGCTCTTGTGCTTTGTCTTCCTGGGGTGCCTCTCACCTCTCATTGCCCTGTGCTCCTCTGACAGGCCCTGGAAAGCGAGTTTGTGTCATGTCAGCTGCATCAGTGGATTGACCTTATTTTCGGCTACAAACAGCGAGGGCCAGAAGCAGTGCGTGCCCTCAACGTATTTCACCACCTGACTTATGAGGGCTCCGTCAGCCTGGACAGTATTGCTGACCCTTTGCTCAGAGAGGTAAAGCTCACAGAGACACAAACACATGCATATGTATGGATTCTGTGATGAAGCCACCTACTTTCTTACTCACTTTGCATGCTACTTCCTGTATCTGTTTGTCAAGATGTGTCTTGCATTTCCTGGAGCATTCATATCATGCACCTGTCAGTCAATTAATCTGTTCTGAAAGACTAACCCAGAGGAGAATCTAGCAGGGTTGATGACTCAGCATGTTTGCTTCAACTGATGTTTTATTAAATCTGTAGTTTTAAATCTTTAATGTTATACCATATACCTTTTTGATTGTGTTAACATCATATTGCTATGTCCACCGTTATTTTGTTTATGAAACTGATTATTGTTTTCTTAATTAGGTCAAAACAATTCTGTATCATCTATTTGGTCACCAGCAGATGTTTGGTTAATAGATGCAACAGAGAATCTTCCTATTTTAAGCCAAATTAACTCTTTTAGGTGGATTGTTCTGCTTTCTATAATTGCAAAGGGAAAGGAGACCAAAGACTACAGCAGCTGGCATGCATTGTGGCATTTTCCAGTGTGAGCTCTCCTCTCCCTGTGATATTCACCATCTGCTGTCTGCAAAACAACTCATTTATATACTGTCACTTCCAGGGGCGCCTTTATTTATCAAGTGACCACTATGCAAATCACCTGCAGAAGATTTGGCTCATCTAATTACCAAACCGTATTGTGAAAGATTTGGTTTTTAATATTTCAGGAAGTAATTCCAATGATGCCTTTTTTATTTTCCTTCAAAGGAGATTTTCAGCTGTCTTCCACTGTCACATTGTTACTTTTAGAGGTGACAGTGCTCTTAGCTAGTCTCATTTGAGGAAGTTGCATATTTACGGTCCACAACTCTGCTCAAACAGTTAAAAGTGTCACATCTTCAATTAATTGTGATGGAAAAAGAAGCCAAATCTTCTAACAAAAGGTATTGTATTATATGAGGGCTACGTAATTAAGAAAAAATATTTTGTAATTGGTTTTGCAACATTTATTGTATATTTTTTTTTAAATGTTGTAATTGTTTGATTACGTTAGTTTTTATTTGGTTGTGCCCTTATTTTAGGCAAAATTCACTGAAAAAACTGCTATTAGTCAAATATTTGAAATAATACTTGTCAGTCAGAAGTAGTTGACTGTCATATCAACACATAAAAAATACATTTTCTATAAAGAAAAAAAAACATAATGAAGATTAAGATATTCAAACATATTTTCTTATTCTTAAATGTTAGGGTTTATTTTTAATATTTAATGTAGGTTAGGGTGTATTCTAATATCAAACTCAGCACCAATTCTAATATAGATTTTGTGAACTTGTTTGATTGAACTCTGCAGGAAGAGTAGATTTTGTCTACAGATCTACTCTTATTGTTTCCTTTCCAGTATTTACCAAATGGTATTGGTATTTAAATTGGTATTTAAAGTCAGCGTTAAACAGAAATCAATGCAGTATTTATAGTATGTTTGGTTAAAGCAAATGATTATTTCTGACCTCAATTCTCTCTCTCGCTATATATATATATATATATATATATATATATATATATATATATATATATATATATATATATATATATATGTGTGTGTATAGTATGTTTATACATTTGCAGCAAGAATATAGGTATTTTTTCCTTTGCATATTCCTGATATTTCGTCAGTAATTTTAACCTATTATGAAAGTCTTCTATGATTTTATTATTTCTTTATTTAAGATTTCTATTATCTAAGTTTTGGTTTGGCATTTGCAAAGGGGGGTTTTACTTTGCATTATATTTATTTGATTTATTTTAGATACATCTAGGCAGTCTTTTATGTGTATATTATAAGAAACATCGAAGGAGTAATGCCTTATATTTACTTTTTATTTCTTTCAGTCACAGCTTGCTAGTTACCTCTACTACTCCCACTCAGGTACTGTTTTACCTGCCTGGATGAGTCAATGACGAGCATGGAAATTTGCCAAGAGTCTGTCTCTCTGGGATTTGTTGAAATGTGATGATTGAGTCTTCGTACTGATTCATTCTAGGCCTGAATTGTTAGACTGCAGACCTGGCATTAATCACAACAATTAAGGCACTTGGAATGTCAAGAAATTGGAGGTCAAAAGATATAATTTCCTTGTGCGTGTCAGATGAAAATGATGACACTTCCTGACATGCTGCCAGGCCTCTGGTCTGTAGTTGAGGAACAGTGACAGCTCTTCTGGGCATGCTGCCGGAACAGCAATCCTTCGCTGTGATGCCTCTCCTGACACCCTTTTCTTATGGAAAAACATGACAGCAACCCCTTGATTCAGACCCCACTGTGTCACTCACAAGTAAACAGACAAATTATTCATCAGTGGAACTCTATTGCTCCTCCTGCCACTGCCCCTCCTGAAACCCTTGCATCAACAAAGACACCAACGTCTGCTGGAGCAGGCTTCTGACAGGCTTTGAGCTCGTCAACATCCCTTAAATTGATTTCACCTTGATATTCTCATGTTGATGCGGTACAAATGTTCAAATGGTTTGCATTACTGTCTCCTTCACATGCTGTATCATAAAGATTTTAATTTCCATTAGATGTGATGAAAGCAGCATTACACACAGCCACTTACTGGAGGACACATTGTTTGAGACACATTTGCTCACACTTAATGTCAGACACATGTCCATTCCTTAAAAATCACAGAAGAAAAACCTTAGGGTAATTCTTTGTTTTACTTTAGGGTTTAGTTTTCCTGCAAGATTGTCTAAAACTAATGTCTGATGGCATGTAAAGAACAGACAATACATGGGAAAATTACACTGCTGTTATACCTTTATGTGGTTTTAGCATTATTCTTATTCTTTTATTTAGTTATATAAAAACAATAATTGAACGATAATTGAAAATCATTTTAGGCGTTATTTTTGACATGTGGAAAAAGGTGAAAAAGCTTCTTGTACATTTGTAGCTGCCACCAGTGATCCAAGGCCTTGTGACTCAGCGTGATCTTACATTTCCGCAGCAGTCATCACAAGGCAGTGTTTGTTTTGTGTTCTTTCACTTGTGCAGTGGGTCAGTAATGCTAAAGCATCATCCCACATGTTCAGGTCTGTCTTGATAAGTTCAAGCGTTACTATAAAAGTTCATACGTTTCATCAGTTCGGGTCTAAAAAGTGACATTGTTGGATCTGGTTTCTCTCATTTAAGTCTTCACAACAATTTTCCAAGTAGGGTTCAGGGCAGATTTGCTCTCCAATTAAAAACAGTGATACTGTGGCCATTAAACAAAGTTTTGTTTCTTTTGGCAGTGTGGGCAATTAAATTAACTGTATTTCCCCTTAATTTAAGTAGGTAAATGTGATGATTTGCAAAAGGAATGAGCATTTTTACGCTTAGTATAAGATAATTAGGTATTATGCACTTGAAATATATTTTCTTATTTTATATGTAAAGTGTCTCTCTTACCTCCACAATTCAAGAAAAAACGTACTTACTTTACGAAAAAAAAATGACTTGTTTAGATAAAAGTGTTTTACAATGCAAGTCCCGATGGAAGATAAAATCAGTATTACCGTAGAAGAGGGAAGTACTGAGCTCTGTTGGATGGTTGTGCTGACTTTGAACTTGATAAAACACAGTTGACCAGCAGCATCACAAAACATGGTTCCTCAGATCAGCTCTGACAGTGGAGACGTCTTACATAACATTGGTCTACATCAGGGGTCTTCAGCGTTTTCCAGGCCAAGGACCCCCTAATTATATATATTTTGTATGAAATTGTGTTATATGAAACTGGTGCTATAGTCACTCTATTACAGATGGAGTCATGTAACGAAAGCAAATTTGCCCTGGGATTATTAAAATATTTCTGATTCTGATTCCTGGTTGATGGGACAGGTGTTGTGAATGAAACGGTGCCCAGCTTGAAAGAGCTCCTGTGTGTCGCAGTGTGCACTGATGCCTCCATTTATCTGTTTACTGCAGTGTGTTGTATTCATGTCAAAGTGTATTTAAAGACATTTCAATTAGTGGAAAAAATTGCAGGAGGGAGTATAAAAAAAAGGCTAATAAACCATAATTTTCGCGACTCCCATGCAGTACCTCCACGGAGGTACTACACCCCCTGTTGAAGACCTCCAGATTACATGATTATTTGGATTCTTCTCTAGTGTCCGGGACTTTGGTTCCCTAATTAGTGAAACATCAAGTATATTCTGGAATGATAAGTTTGGTGAACATTGCAAGCATCTAGTGCTTGTTTATCAGTTTCTTTTATAGCATTTCTTCCTTGTGGACATGGTCACTGACTTTCCATTGGACAACTCTAAAGTCATCAGTCCACCATGTGTTTGTGTAGGTAAACACATTTGGGATTGGGGGTTTGACACATATTTATCAAAGTTAAGAACAGACTTGACTGAGATGTAGTATTCGCTCACACCGGTTTTTGAATCTAAGCTGCCACCTCTTACTTTTTGTTTCTATTGTTATAAAAATAAAGACCATCACACAAACAGGTGGACATATTGTTATGAAGGATAGATACTGTGTGTTTACCAAAATAAGCCAATTACTAGTAGGAAAAATAATCCAATTGGATTTAGCTTTATGCCAAATATTAAAACCTTGAATGACTTGAAATTCTAACTTGCCCGTTTTTCCATCTCAAAGTGAAATACAGATATGTTTCTGAAATCCATCTCTAATTTGTCAGTTTTCACAGAGCTGAGAGAATTTGTGTATTCTGTTCGGCTGTTGGAAAAACCTATTCAGGATTTAATCTTTAACAAGGTAAATACTCACAAAGGAATACAAATATAAAGAAAACTGACAAATTATTGCTTTAAAAATTAAAATGGTTCAACACTGCTACTCAGGAGGCTAGTTTTCTTGGTATGATATAATGATCATAAGAAATATTTTGATGTTTTCCACATGACATCCATCTTAGCCTTTATTCTCCGTGTATCAAATTTCTTTATGTGAACAGACACTTCGACCTTGAACCTAACCTTAAATAACCACAATGTCAGTTGCCTTAGTTACTTGGCAGACTTTGTTGTAAAAAAACATGCTCTTAATGGTTGCCAAATGTGCAGACCAGCTCATATGAAGCTTTCACTCCTGTCTGACAGCACTCAACAGTGTTTGCATTGCCGTTTTTGGAACTTTGAAAGATCTGAAGTGACCAGGCGGTGTTTGGGGCGACTGTGTGCCTTGCAGGTGGCCTGTCCTAATTCGGCATTACCTCCAGTTGTCCGGTAACACATCTCTTACTGTGGCATTTGCTACCCAATGGGTCCTTTTTGATAGTGAGTGGTGTGTACAGGCGTAGGAAAATGAGAGCCAGTCAGCCAGGCAGTCAGGAGGGCAGACGAAAGGCTGAGCAATGTATGTTTCATTTTGCACAATGGCATTGACGGACATCTACAAGCTCTTCTGATGGTGGAAAGGCTTCACTCACATCAATCACCTCCACCTTAGAGTGTCATGCTTTCAGTCAAGCTCAGCACCTTCTATTCTTTCCTTTTTTCTTTGTTTTGTTTTTTATTGTTGTAAGCAGATAAGGTCTTTTGTCTGATTTTGTTTCCTAAAAATAGAAAAGTTCAGATTCTTCTGGAGTTTTCCTTTTCTTGCTGCTCATTGTTTGATTAGAATTATGTTTTTCTCTCTGTTAGTCTCATAGTTTCTACCCCATAAACCATCTTTAATTGAGGTAGTACCTTTAACTAACGCACAAATTCGATTTTTGTGTGGTATATGTTTTTTTTGTTGGGTGAGTATACACACACGCTTTTGTGCTTTGTTTCAAGTACAATAACATCTGAAAACATGTTGGCCTGCTGCAGTTCTATCTAGATGTCATTCCAGGTTAACGTTGCTGCAGTTGGGGCCCCTGCTCCTGGAAATGGGGAATGGTTAACTGAAGCATGTTAATAGGAAAAGGCTTGTCTCTTCCATACTAACACTTGGATGACTCTGCAGGCAGAGGGGGAAGGGGGAGCACCGAGGCGGATTGGGAGTGCACCCCTTTCCCTTTACCTCCCCCCTTCCTCAGAGGCATGGCTGAGTTAGGATTTGCTTGCATTGTCAAGTAACGCATTGACCCATCACTTTGATGCATATTGATTGTGACAGCCACTCTCTCACTCTCTTGCTTTCTCCCGCAGGCCACGGAGGCGCAGATCCAGAGCTTTGGACAGACGCCATCTCAGTTGCTTATCGAGCCACATCCTCCACGCAGCTCCGCCATGCACCTGGTGAGAACGGTGAGAATGCTTGGAACAGTCACTGCACCTCTGGATCTGTGCTGGTGTGCTCCAGAGAGGCTGTGCAGACCTAGATTTTAGTTTGAATGTGTTTACAAACAGGCATACGTTTGACCAAGATCATTTGCCAGGACTATGCATTATTTAATTTTTATTACATTGTTAACAAAACCTAAATATTTCTATTTTATCTTATGTCATCATTGGCATTCTGTTCAACTAACCTTTATCATTTGTTGAAGAAGTGTGAGGTGTATTTCTGCTGGTACTATTCAAACATAGTGAGGTTTAAAGAGAACAGTGCTCCCTACTGGCCTAATAAACACAATCTCTGTGATAAAAAGGTTTTTCCAGTTAAACTAATGTAGATCAAATATTTGAAATTGAATACATACACCTATACAAGCTAAAGCATCATTGTGAATTTGAAGGACTTAATTAGCCTAAACACAGAAATGCTATGGATGAAGAATGAAAAAGTAAAATCCTGAACAAACTGACCCATCTTGAAAAATAGGGGCTGCAGCATTTCTCTGTTGGGATCCTTTCATCTTTCTGGGATGGGTAGCTGATTGGAAGATACATGGTGTTAAATACAGACCAATTCTAAAGAAAACTAGAAGTTCACCCTCCATCAGGAAAACTCTAAACATATAACCACAGCTACATTGCAGTTTTTTTTTTTAAGTTTAAAGCATATTTATGTGTTGGAATGGCAAAGACCTAAATCTAGGAAGGCTTAAAGATTAAAAATTTTACAACACATTAAGTCAGAGGCTGAAAGTATAGGCAGGCTCCACCTTTTAGTTTCTTAAGTGTAAAAGATTTAAACAAATTTTATTTCTGTGTTCTTTTTATTATGAAGGCTAATGATAAAATATTGAAATTTGTGGTTAATTGAAAAAAAAAGAAAAACATTAAATGGTATTTAACTTTTAATACTCACCATTGCTATCCATATCCTCATATGGCTCTGCATATGTAGATAATGATAGACATGTTGTTCTTGCAACACTTGCAGGAGAAAAAAAAGCAATACTAAGATTTGTGAACATACAACTGTTCAAAAGAAACTAATCCATACATAGATGTTAATACAAATTATTTGATATTTTTATTTCTTGTGAAACAAGAAATTTTGATGCCTGTTTCCCTGTCAATCATGAGATTTTAATTAACCCCTCCATCTCCAGCTTTCCCTGCCTCCCATTGTCTTCACCAGTTGTCCATCAATGATGCTGCGTTAAGTTCTCCATTGTTTCCAAACCCTCTTGTTTCTCACACAAATTCCTTTTTCCGCTTCTTACACTGTAAATCTTTTTTGTATCCTCCTTTTTTTTTGCTCTTCAAATTCACCCTCTCCAACCATCACCACACCTCCATCTTCTTTCCCCAGTTTTGTCTTTTCTCTCTTCTACTCAACAGTGTTTCCTTCCACAGAGTCCTCTTATGTTCAAGGACCAGATGCAGCAGGATGTCATCATGGTGTTAAAGTTTCCATCCAATTCGCCTGTAACGCATGTGGCTGCCAACACCCTGCCCCATCTGACTATACCAGCTGTGGTCACCGTCACCTGCAGCCGACTATTTGCCGTCAATCGATGGAATAACACTGTCGGTGAGCGGAAACAATGTCACATAGGAGGTGATAGAAATTCAAACACAGACATATGATCTTGGAACAAAAAAAACCCCCAAAAACTATTGTGGCACACCCACATGTGATAACTACCACAACAGCAGTCCTGTAAAATCACTTCATCACACAGTCACACACAAAACCTGCCTGCTGCTCAATTGAGCTGTTGCAAGCTGTCTATGAGAGGGCCTAGCACCTTCCAGGTAAGCTGACTATGAGTGTTTCCACATGTTCCTTTTTCAGACATGTGTGAACAACATTACCACTGAGCCCCTCCCTATGAACGAGCCCACCTCAGGGTCAACAGGTCAAAGCAATGGTTACAAGGAAATTAGGCCACAACTGCACCACATTCTCCTCACACATTCCCATCTGTTACTGCGCAAAATATGTAGCACCAGGACCAAAGAGTACGCAGCGTGATGTTGTCCCTAATGAACACAGCTGCATCGCCCAGACCATCCTGTTCAAGACAAAGGAAATGTCTCACTTTTTGAAATAATAGTGATAACTAGGATTTTTTTTTAGCTCGGATGAAATTAGAATGAAAATTGTATTAAGATATTTGCTCTTATGGATAAAATATTGTTTAATTTTGGATGTGACTAGCCTAGTAAATCATGAACCTACTCGTACTTTGGGAAAATATGAATAAACTTGTCAATGAAAGGAGAAACAATGTCTTTGTGACGGTGAATGATTATGAAATTGTTAAAAAAACAGATGCATTTATGCTTACCCGAATACAGGTCTCCGAGGAGCACCAGGCTATTCTCTGGAACAGGCTCATCACCTCCCTATAGAGATGGATTCTCTGGTTGGTGAGTGAGCTTAAAGAAAAAAAACACTGCTTCATTCTAAAAAAAAGGCATGCTTTATATCTATTTTAGCAGAAGAAGCTATGCCTCAGGTATTGTACTGTGTTTCCTTTCATTATTTCCTTTCAGCCAACAATACTGGCAGCAACAAGCGCCAGATCACAGACCTAGTGGACCAAAGCATCCAAATCACCACACACTGTTTTGTGGTGACAGCTGACAACCGCTACATCCTGGTGTGTGGCTTCTGGGACAAGAGCTTCCGAGTGTACTCCTCTGAGACAGGTAGGTTATAGTGTAAACTCTGTTTCCTACAGAGCCGAAGCGCTGATGTGTGGAGGACTGAGTACCATGACAGTAATGATACAGTATTGGTGCAACTGTCTCCTGACACACTGTGTAGAGAAACTGATAGATACACACCTTTGCAATGAATTATTAACTGCTATGAGAACAACATGCTGTCTCTGTATCTCATTAAACATTGGATAGTATTCAGCTGGGACCACTTAACATGGTTTCACAATAAATTGTAGGAATCCTTAAATCTTCATATTATTATTTCTATTGTGGATATTTTGATCTGTACAAGCTTCACAATCCTTTGTCCTAAACAGCAATAATGATTTTATTGAGAATTAAGCTGATGGTTGATCTGTGAACATGTTTGTAGATGACTCATTTTTGCATATTTCCCAAAGAAAATGTATCAGCACAAAACATTTCTCATCTTTATTCTCTGAAGGAAAGCTGACCCAGATCATTTTTGGCCACTGGGATGTGGTGACATGTCTTGCCCGATCAGAGTCTTATATCGGAG